GGTTGGGTTCGTTTTTCTTTTTGCTGAAGTGTGCTTCTGAACATCATCTTGATAACAAAACCTATTTAGTTGGGCTTTGATTTCACTTTCTGGATTTGTCCCCTTATAACCATACAATTTGATTTGTGTTACATGACATATACAGCAATTTGAAATGAGATATTTATTTTCTGACAGGCTTTCAGTGTGAGGCTTCGCTTTGTGTACACAATTCTCCCTTAGGCCTATCAAGGCCACATTTTAAACAGCTCCCAGAAATTTGACTTACTGATAAAGACAAAAATATACAAGACTGAAGTAGGCAGCTTCCAAGACTGGGGTGGGGAGAGGGAGAAAACCAAAGTCTGTTCCTTCAGATCTGCCGGATTTAACAGGATTTTAAGAGGATTTTAAACTAATATTAGAGCAAGAAAGTGTGCAGCACAACTTTTTTTTTTTCAAACCCTCTTTTCCCTAGAGAAAAGTTCAAAATCCCAAGTTCAAAATCAAGTACTGTAAGAGCAGTGTAGGCTGGCAAACAATGCATAATGTTCTTCTCCTGTTCTCAATTTATGGATGCCAAATAGGGTTTGGGACTTGTTTAGAAAGCAAGACTCTTATGTGAATTGCAGCCATTGCTGCTGCACTGAACTGATGACTGTATTCTCATCTAAACAACACTAACATGAGCTCAACACTGCATTCCTTAGCTAGGCAATATTCCTGCTACACTTCACAACAGGAATTTAGGCTAAGTGATGTGGGAAAGGGCAGGGCCAGGGCCAGAATGTTACAGACATTGAACAGTTAAGGAGGAGGAAGAGGGAAATGTTCAACTGCTGAGACTAGATGTAGTTCCTTTATGTAAAATAAATGAATAAATAAAAGTTCATATGTTCTTTTATTGTACTGTTTGTGACTGATTATGTTCTGGTGTGCGAAGGAGGTACATGCACGGTTCCTCTACAGCAGAGAGGTGTAAAAGTCTGACTCCCTTCCCTCCTCCACTCCAAACTTCAGCTTCAAACTTTTCAGAAAAAGTATAATTACTTCAGGAAATGACTTGCACACATGCACACACAAAAGGACACTCAACATCTTAAAATTCCTGTGTGAATCAATAAAGCTATGTATGTGACTGGAAATAAAAACAACTCCTTGAAAGCAGAGCACAGTGTGGATTATTTGATGTCTTCCCTCAAGTCCATTCCTTCTCAAGAGTGATATTACTATTAGCTGTATCATAGTAGTGTCTAGGATCTCCCCCCTGTGCTATGTGCTGTATATATTCAAAACAGCAGTCAGCCACTGTTCTGGAGAGAACCTGCCATCTAAGCAGACAAGATGGACAAAGGCTGAGTGAGGAAAACAAAGGCATAGAGAAGCGTGGCCAGAGAGTCATTCAGAAGGTCAGTAGAGTGAATAGGATTCATGTTCCCGACTCCCAGTGCAGTATCCAAACCACACAACCACTCAAAAACATTAACATCAACTAAAGCACACATTACGTGGCATCCTATTCACTACAAGTCTGAAACTCTCCTCCACAGTAATCACATCTTGTTACTCTCAAAATTGTTCCTTGGTAATAGTCTCAGGCAGAGCAAAAGTGGTGGTGGCATGTATTCTTTTGCTCTCCTCCTATAAGATTATATGCAACATTATACATTGTTATTTGCCCTGTTAAGCATTCCCATTGATTTATTTGATTTGCCATATTTTTCAACCCTCTATTGACAGAGTTTTAAAAACTGAACGATAGCTATAAAATGGGATTTTATTTGTGAGGTGGAAGAGGAGAGGTGGGTTCTTATGTTTAAAGGGCTATTTAAAGGGACAAATTAATTAAAAAAATAAAATGAATAGAAGCAAAGACATAATTGCAAAAATAACCTACCAGTATTTTCCCCTTCCATTTAACCAATGTAAATGGGAGAGTAAAGTTACTCCTAATACAGATGGCCCACATGAGATTTCATGTACCACTTACCCTAATCTTATGAACTTGGGGCAGAAGTAATTGGACCCTCTGCAGAGGACTGATTTTTACTCAGGGAGTATTCAGTCCAACATTGCTATGCTGGCTCCAGCAGAGCCAAGAGCACCATGTATTTCATTTGAGAAAGGACTTAATTCAAAACTGATAATGGCATGGTTCCTTAGTAACAGAGCAAGTGTGAGGTTAGGACTTGTTATACTTGTTTTCTGGGGTGGCCTTCAAATACATGACAGCACATCAGAAAGAAACATCAGAGAGCCAACCCACTCTTTTTTTAACCGACTAGGCACACACTTTTTACTAACAACCAAACATTTTTATTGAGACATAATGTAAATATAATTACTCTGCCATGTCCTGCATGGCAGTAACAAGGGCTGAGTTCAAACTCGGGGATTTAACACCAACGTTCTAAATCTGGCTTGAGCTGTCACCCAGAAACCTGGCCAATAGAAACCTGAGAAAACAGAAACCTACCTCATGCCTACACCCTAATGGCCCCCCACAACTGCACCCTGCACCATGCTGCCCTCACCCCACCCCACCCCACATCTTTACCCCTATCAGCCCCACTCCTCCCCCTCCAGCATGGACCCCCTA